GCAGCAGCACGTGCAGCAGCAGCACCTGGAGCAGCAGCACGTGCAGCAGCAGCACCTGGAGCAGCAGCACTTGCAGCAGCAGCACCGGGAGCACCACCACGCCCAGCAGCAGTACCTGGAGCAGCACCTAGTCCAGCAGCAGGACCTGGAGCAATACCACGTGCAGCAGCAGGACCTGGAGCAATACCACGTGCAGCAGCAGGACCTGGAGCAATACCACGTGCAGCAGCAGCACCTGGAGCACCACCACGTCCAGCAGCAGCACCACGTGCACCTGCTGGTGCTGCTCCTCCTGCGTATGATGCTCCAGTAGGTGGACGGCCAACAGCAGCAGGTGGTGTTGCTGCTCCTGGTGGAACTCACAGGGCCATTGTTTCAGTGCAACTGGGGCCTCCTATTGCCCCAAAGCCAAAAGGAATTGATTCGTGGTTGCAACGACAGCGAGCAGCTGCTGCTGCTCTGGGTGCAGGTGCTGGTGCTGCTGCTCAAGGACAACAGCAGCCTCCGCATGCTGCCAGTGGAAATGAGGGTTTGCCGTCGTACGCTGATGTCGCCCAGGCACCTCATGCTTACCCAGGGGTATCTTCGCCGGTGCCTCCAGCGAGGCTCAGAGTACCAGAAAACCTTTTAGGAGATGGGGTTCGAGATCTAGATCTGGAAACAGTTGTTGAACTTGAGGGAGAAGTTGAGAAGTTGGTTGGGCCGGACGAACCACTGCATATTGTTAAAGAGAAATTGCAGAGTCAAACTCTGTACACTGTGTTTAAGCTAAAACGGCAAGCGGAGGTATCCTCCAGTCTTTTTAAGCAGTGGAGGCAGACGAGGAAACCAGACTACGGCAAGCCGCTGGCAACTGACTACGATGCTCTAGACTGGAGCGAGGATGAAGTTTGGTATAGTGATGATGATTAAGGTGGTAAATAGAAGATGATTATGATTTCTGCATGAGGTAATATGCTCACCTTGTGTGTGTTCGCCTTGTGTTTCTAGTTTTTTGCCGTGTT